CAGCAAAAGGTAAATAGAGGTTTACTCTTAAACTTTTGTTTTATTTTTCTCTGATATCATTGCAGCAATTTAAGTTCCTCTTTTGTTGAAGAGGAGATGTGCTTACTTATTCAAGGATACATGTTCATATTTATATTTGTTTAAAAAAAATGGTGACAAAGAGATAATAAATAATGTGTGTATGGCTGTTAGTGAGCAAAGTCATAGCTTCAAGCTAGTAAATGTGAAAATCCTATGGAAATAATCCAATAGTAGCATGCAAGTGGGTTTGCCCACAAGGTGTTTGTGAAAGTGTTTCAATGGCTACTTCAAGATGGAGTTTGGCAAGAACATGTGTGGTATTACAACTTGTGCTTCATACCCCATTGTTGCTGTATAGAGTCTCCCACAAAGTATTTAGATAACATCTATTCAGAAGTTCATTTGCTGTTTGACATTTAATTAGCATTTGTTGTTAGCCAAAGTTAGTTCTTTTTTTTTTTTTTTTGGTTAATGTTACTAGATACTATGTTAATATTATTATACCATGTATATGTTTGTAAAGAATAAAAATCTCCAAAAAAGAAAAAAGAAGAAGAAAAAAAAAGAGAAGAAAAAAAAAAAAGAGAAAAGAAAAAAAGAAAATTTCAAAAAAATATTTGTCTCGATTTTCGAACCCTTTCTCTCTCCCCTACCTCAGCATGTGTGTCGAGCTGGTGGTCCGCCTATACACGCTTTTCTCTAGTGTGGTGGGAGGGAAAATCGGCGCGACACCCACGACAAGGTAGGCGAGCGACCCTCGGTTCCAAATCCTATTCTCGGCGTTCGTGGCGCACCGAAAAACCGCCTATACACGTTTTTCTCTAGCGTGATGGGATAGGAACCCGGTGCGATGACTACGGCGAGATCGCGATATTCATAAGTACCCGCTCATGGGGAAACAACAGCTTTTCTTTCATAAGTACTCGCTCACGGGGAAACAACTGCTTTTCTTTTGCAATAGGTACCGAAGACCCATACACGCCTTTCTCTGGCGTGGTGGGGGGCGACGATTACACGGCCGCGGTGTCCTCATACGAGGGCACCTACCGTACACGTTTTTCTCTAGCGTGGCTGGAGGTCCAGTTTTCCGCAGTTTTCCGTAGTTTTCCCCTAAACGAGGGAGACGTCGGGAGAGGTTGCCGAAATTTCGGGTTAATATATGATTGCACTCGGACCTGTTTGGACTCAAAGAACAAGAATTTGAACTCAAATGAACATGAACCAGCGGACTTGAGCATGAACTACAATGACTTGTATTTGGACACTAATCAAATGATTAAGCAAGACTTGAACTAAGTAAAATAAATTCAAACATGAATCGAAATTGAATATCAAGTGAGCATAATTTTAACTTAAGCAAAGATCTGAATTGAACACAAGGAATATGTGAACTTGGACACTTGGACTTGATTTGGACCAAATGATATTAACTCGAACTCGAACTTGATTTGAGTATTAAGTGTAGGTGACTTGGGCAATTTGGACTCAAATTCACGTGGAACTTGGACTTGAATGTGACATAGTGCATACATATTGGACTTGCAAATGGGATGAACATGAGCTTGAATTCAAGCTGGACTACAGGGAACCATGCACTGAATTGGAAAATGCACAATTTAAATTAAAATACAAATCCACTACACTTCTAAGTGATAAATGCATAGCTACAATAAAACTACGAATGACAAATTATTTTGATTATCCAAATGAACATTTGTGGAGCTAAAGACTTATAAAATATCATTTACTTAATAACATCACTGGAATATTTCAGAGTTGTTATTTCAATTTGAATGCAAAATGCTAGCTAATGAATATCATTCATTCAAATCACTTGTAAGTAAGCAAGGATCCATGCATACATTCATTCCAAAATTTGCCATGACTTTTGAACAATGTCTATTAACTTATAAGAGTCATTTCAATTGAGATGAAGATGTTAATGAATGGGGATATCAAATTCATTACAAATCAAATGTAACAACAAATAACTTACAAGTATAACTTGTTTGTAAGTGATGAAGCCATGAGCAAATATGCACATTACAGCATAAGATGAATGCAAGTATCATGCAGAGGACAACAAAGAGCATACAATTCGTGTTACATATTACTTGCAAGTAAAAAATAAAGATCTGCAACACATACGATCTTTCTACAAAGACAAATGTATGTGCCACATGTCACTGATGGGTAGATGCAGAAAGACTTCAGTAGGTGCAGTATCCTGAAGTCACTTTCAATCTATGGAAAACATCGACCTGCCTACATATAGCAGTGACGGATGTACTATATGAGAACAAATACCACGCCAAAATTCATGAAGAATACGAAAAGTGCAATCTCTTACGACCTAAAGTAGGAGATTAGTTTATGTACTACAATCTACCTGTTTAAATCGTACAAGTAGTGCACGACAGTCTACATGTACAAAGCAGCGAACCAGTCTATTCAGAAGCTGCTACGCAACGCCACCGGATCTGTAACACTTATGCAAGCAGGCAGAAGGCGTTTACAATCTACAATAAAACGCCACCGGATCCGCAACTTCTATGCAAGCGGACAGAAGGTGTCTACGAATACTTTCAAAATACCCCTGCATGTGTACTGTAATTTGTATACACATAGGTACACTAAAAGGGGTAAATACAATCTCAACCCGCATGGGCCCCAGCGAGCGTGTTATTGGTACACACGTGACGTCTAGAGATGTTGTGCGGGTCAATAAGTGAATTCAAATTCGAACCTGATCCTTTTATACGGATCAATAGGAGTCGACAGGGTTCGAACCATTAAACAAATATAAGTTTGTGGCGACCGGTATATTTATTTTAATACATTCATATTAGGCCTTCATGACCTACAACAATATGAATTCACTAACAAAGGCATAAAGCCTACGAAACCCGATCATCTATCGACAGCCAGACAGAGTCGACAAGGTTCAAGCTACAAATGAAAATGCCCCCCAAACACCCTGATGATGGCTGTGTTGAATGCAGATCTCAACCGGAGGGATTCCCAGATATTTTCAAATGTCTCCCAAAAGTCAATTTCAAATATTTCAAAGCTCCACCCAAAATATCCATAAAAAATTCAAAAACCCCAAAACTCCACAAAAAACCCAAAGTTTCAAAAATATTTAAAAATGAAACTATCCATCCCAACACTTAAAGCATAGCCCATCCACCCTCTACAACAGTCTGCCAGGGTGGACAAATTCAAATAAACTCTAGCTCACAAAGAGCCAAATGCCGCCTCCAAATGGCACTGCAGGTAAACGATTATGACCCGGGGCCCTCTGAACCGAGTGGTTTTGCCGCCAAGTGGCACCACAGATAGCGGTTATGGCCAGAGCCAATACGCTCCTTAGTGACGTTAAATCCTTGAGATATGAATCAATAGGATATGATCGATATGGCACAAAGCTCTTTGATAGCTAAGGCGGATTCAAATTTGTTCCCTTAGGTAAATACCCATCCCTGGTCTCTACAAGGTCCCCTTGGAAGAAGCAACCCATGGTTGCCGACAGAATCGTTCTGTCAGGTTGGGTCGACTACCTCCTCTGACTAAGTAGACCAGGGACCCAGATGGCCCGGGACGACGGAACCATGGGATCTTGATCGGGTCTATCATCGATTCCCCCACCATCCGCTTTAATTGTAAGATGGTGCAATTTCTATTTTAAATATCAAACTTTTTCAAATATTTCCAAATATCCAAACTTCCCAAATTCACAAATCCAAATCCAGTTCTCAAATTCCATACCCATGCTGCTACTATATGCCAGATAATACGTATCTCTACGTATCTGATTGACGACTAGCCTTAATCGAAAGTTCTCTCTCGTTATTGGGAAAGGTAATTAACTATAGGGGCTTGCGTCTATAGGAAACCAGAACTCAGATCATAAAATCCTCACAAAATGAGGGCGAAATCTCTGGGTAGTGTCTTATCTACAAACCTATCTGCCTTCCAAAATTTACCTTTGAATTTATTCAGTTAAAAGTCCCTCGCCGAATAAAAAGAAAAGCGAGCGGAGGTCGGGGCCGAATTTTCGGAGCCCACAGATGCATTCAACTATATTCAAAAGTAAAAAGTGCATATATTGAATATGGGGAATTTAATTCGTTTATTTAAAGATGGATAAGTTAATAATAATAATATGTTTTTATGAGATGTTCAAATTGATGGATTTGATAGATTTTTGATTTTTTTTTATTGATGAGATGGGGAATAGATTATGACTGTTTTGAAGTTATGATTCATCATTATCAATAATGTAAACCCCATTTTCTCAACATTTGTTTCTAGTAAACCCCTTTTTAGTAAGCCCATTTTCATTATTGAAACTCTGTTTTAGTAAACACCTTTTTCTCGACATCTATTTCTAAAACTTCATTTTAAATAAGCAACCAAACAAAGCCCGGGACATCTCATTATTGAAATTCCATTTTATTAAATTTCTTTTTATCAACATTTGTTTATAAAACTCCATTTTACATAAGCAACAACCAAATGAAAGGAGCCCTTGATGATGTAAAAAATTAATAACAATAATAATTTCAGTTATGTCATGCATTGAAGATGCTATATATTATTCGACCTGTCAAATTGGATAATATATAGTCTAATTTTTATAAATTTACTAACATGCGTTTTTCTAATAATAATTTTTTAGTTCCAAGATAAATTTTATTTTTGCTCAGTTCGAGTCATTTCTAATGCCAAAAATAATAACAAAATATTGTAACTGTAATCATTAAGTACTATATTTATATGCACTTTAGTTGTATAAAGTATTATTCTAAAAGTTATGATATTAAGTAATTTTTTTAAGAACTTCACATATATCTGAATTATTTTCTACAGAAATTAATAAAAAATTACATATATTCTATTTTAAAAATGCCAAAGCTATAACTAAAACAAATAATGAATATCTGCTTTTGAAAAAGATTACATTTCAGAATAAATACTGAACGAATTATTTTCCGATCATATTTCTAATGTTTGAAATTGTTGAAAAAAATAAATTTAAAAAGCATGACACAGCAGCAATGTAGCACACAACAATCTTATTTTACAATATTGGAGAAATACAAATTACACGCAGGCAAATAAGCAGCAAAGATACACAAACCACTTGAAATTAAGTAAAATTGGTACTAAGAAGAACACATGCTCAATTAAAATTTCAAACTGCAAGTTTTACTCAATCAACTTCCTCGATCTTTGGCCCTGCATCGCTTCCACCACGATGGCCATCCTCATCCATGGTAGCCTCCCCACCACCCTGATACAATTTTGCTATGATCGGGTTACACAATCCTTCAAGCTCCTTTATCTTATCCTCAAACTCATCAGTCTCAGCAAGCTGGTTACCATCAATCCACTGAATTATCTGCTCAAGAGCCTCCTCAATTTTATGCTTATCAGCAGAGTTCAACTTCCCTCCAATCTTCTCATCCTTGATCGTATTCCTCATATTGTAAGTGTAATTCTCAAGAGCATTCTTCGCTTCCACCTTCTTCTTATGCTCCTCATCCTCTGTCTTGTACCTCTCTGCTTCCTGCAACAACTTTTCAATTTCCTCCCTGCTGAGCCTTCCCTTTTCATTAGTGATGGTGATTTTGTTCTTCTGACCACTTGTCTTGTCCTCAGCAGACACGCTCAGGATACCATTGGCGTCAATATCGAAGCACACGGTGATCTGAGGCACGCCTCTGGGTGCTGGTGGAATGCCGGAAAGTTCAAACTTGCCGAGCAAGTCGTTGTCTTTAGTTCTAGTTCTCTCGCCCTGATACACCTGGATCAGAACGCCGGGTTGGTTGTCGGAGTAGGTAGAGAAAACCTGTTCTTTCTTGGTGGGAATTTGGGTATTCCTCGGAATTAAGACTGTCATGACGCCTCCAGCTGTTTCCAAACCAAGGGAGAGAGGAGCAACATCAATAAGAAGCATGTCTTGTACTTTCTCATTGCCATCACCGCTCAAGATTGCTGCTTGAACAGCAGCACCATAGGCCACAGCCTCGTCAGGGTTTATGCTTTTACAGAGCTCCTTTCCATTGAAGAAATCTTGAAGCAGCTGCTGAACTTTGGGAATTCTAGTAGAACCACCCACCAGGACAACGTCGTCGATGGTTCTCTTATCCATCTTGGCATCTTTCATGCACTTCTCCACTGGCTCCATGCACTTCCTGAAGAGATCAATGTTGAGCTCTTCGAACCTTGCTCTCGTTATCGAACTGTAGAAGTCAATGCCTTCGAATAAAGAATCGATTTCAATGGTGGTCTGCGCACTGGAAGAGAGAGTCCTCTTCGCTCTCTCACAAGCTGTTCTCAACCTTCGAAGAGCTCTGGGATTATTGCTAATATCCTTTTTATGTTTCCTCTTGAATTCCTGCATGAAATGGTTCACCATTCGATTGTCGAAGTCCTCTCCCCCGAGATGAGTGTTGCCTGATGTCGCCTTCACTTCAAAGATGCCATCTTCAATAGTGAGTATAGAGACATCGAAGGTGCCACCACCGAGATCGAATATGAGAACATTCTTCTCACTCGAGCTATTAGTCTTCTTGTCAAGCCCATAAGCAATGGCCGCAGCTGTGGGCTCGTTGATAATTCTCATGACGTTTAGACCGGCAATGACTCCGGCATCTTTGGTGGCTTGCCGCTGCGAGTCGTTGAAGTAGGCAGGTACTGTAACTACAGCATTCTTTACGGTTTTGCCAAGGAAAGCTTCAGCAATTTCTTTCATTTTGGTGAGAACCATTGAGGAAATTTCCTCGGCGGTGAATTGTTTCTCTTCTCCTTTGTATTTGACGACGATCATGGGTTTTTCACCGGCGCCGGGGATAACTTTGAAAGGCCATAGCTTCGAGTCATTCTGCACGGAGGGATCAGAGAATCGTCGGCCAATCAAACGTTTGGCATCTGCAAGAAAGGAACCAGTTTAGAACTTATTCATTTTTAATCATCAATACAAAACTCTAAAAAATAACGTAACCAAAATCACCATGAGCTCTAATTTTTATTTAGGGAAAATTGCAGCTCTAATTTAAGTGCTCCTTTCTTATTTGTGCAAAACTAGAAAATAGGATTTGAAAAAATAAGAAACGCTGACATCTTGATTTAATGGTTGGAAATTTTAACTATGAATAAAGAGGTTTTAAAATTGAATTAAAGTACATGATATGTGAAACAACTAATATATTCAAAAAATCAAAACTAATGTAATTATTATTATTATTATTATTAAATTTAAAATGAGTTCCTATTTTATGCTTAGTCATAAAAATCGTAACTTCGAATCAACAAATAATAAAAAGGAATAAAAAAGGAAAAAAAATTAAATTTCAAAATATTTTGAAGTAAAAAATATTAAAGACTTTGATGAATTAATGCAATTATTTTAATATAAATTAAATAGTTTTAAGCCAATTATGATATATTTAAATATAAATTTGATTGAGTAAAAATAATTAAAATTTTCTATTAATTATTTAATAACTAGATGTTAAAATTTTGAAGGAGTAAAAATTATTTTATTTTATGCATGAATCATAGGTAGAAAATAAGAATCTTAAGGAAACACTAGAGGAAATTAAAAGCACGTTCATTCTTTTTTCAGTTTTTGTCCTCCATTTGTAGCGCTTATATTGAGTGCAGTTATCAAGAAAAATATAGCATTCATTTATATAGGTGACACTATGCCTAGAAAAAAAAATTATTCAAAATAAAAAAAATGATAAATTTTTAATAAATTTAAAATTAAAATTAATCATGAATGACTCGTTAAAAATTAAGATTTTATTTGAGATAATTTTATTATTATTTTTAAAGCATTTTTTTAGTATATTTTTAAAATAATAAAAATAATGATAAAAACCATCTCAATTAAACAAAATCTAAGTACATTTTTCTCATATAATACTAAAATTTTATTTATTTATAAAATTAACATTCAACTATTCTTTTATTTGTATAAATTTAGCACAAATCTAGGAATAGCAAAATAAAACTTGATCTTAAAATTTTCTTATTATTTTAATTCGTTGAATTACAGCTCGTGTAAATATATAGATTTCATAGTTTGTTATTTTTTCTAAGAAAATTTTTGATTCTTACATAATTTTTCTCAAAATATTTATATTTTATACGTGAATCTAACTCCAACCATTTGATAAAAATCAAAATTTTAATTTCAAGCTAAGCTAATATGCATGAGTTTCACAAATCCAACACTAATGGACACATGGATCAGAAAGCCAAATGCATATAGAAATAGAGGAGAGAGACAGAATGATTAATCAAGAGATTAAGGAAGCTAATATATATCGAAATTTTGTTAGCCTAATCAAGTTTATATACTCACAAACAATCTGCACAGAAGATAAAGCGAACAGATGCAAAGAAAACGACAATTATATAAGGATAATCTGCAGGGAGTACTGAAACAGAAAAGAAGAAATTAAGTAGAATTTAAGAACTTACCGAATACGGTGTTGATCGGATTCATGGCGGCCTGATTCTTCGCCGCGTCGCCGATCAACCTCTCAGTATCAGTGAACGCAACGTAGGAAGGAGTGGTTCGATTTCCTTGATCGTTCGCGATTATCTCAACGCGATCATGTTGCCAAACACCGACACATGAATACGTCGTCCCGAGATCGATGCCGATCGCCGGACCTTCGCTTTTTCCCGCCATAAGTTATTTCACTTAAATTATATATCACTTTCAAAGAAGAACGAAAGAGAAAAGTAAACGAAGCTGAGCAGACTAGAAAGAAGATCGATGCTTTAACTATAACTGTGCGAAGAAATGATTGGGGATCTGCTAGCTTTTATAAGGAACGATTATAGTCTCCGTTCCGGAAGGTTCGAGAAGGTTACAGAAACTTTGGATTGGGATATGAGAGATCGACGGTGAAGGACCGCTTCTCCTCTGCAGGCGCGGGATGGCTTCAGCTGGCCTTGATCCGGATTATTCCGGAACTATCGCGACTTGGTAGCTCATTCGTGTCGGTTGACTGGTCGGGTTATTTTAGGTTAAGGATGCGTGTCTACGGGTCATGGAAGGTTCTCGAGTCATCCAGAAGGGTTTGAAGATGGCATTAGCTTATGATCTATATGTACATATTTTATTCAGATAATATACTTGTTGATGAATCATGATAATTTAAATTAAGCTTTAAGATTAGGATCATCGAGACATGACCGGGAGGTCGAATTACATTAAATTTGGGAGGTACTTAAAAGTGGATAATAATAATTTGTCTCGGGATAATTGAGGTTTAATTTAATAATGAGGTGTTCAGATTTCTTATGAGCGCAAGCCTCCATGATTAATTATTGTTGCGTGCGAGAATATACGCGGCGGTAGAGTTTGTAAATTCGCGTCCTAGCGTTATACGAGTATTCCGCACACAAACAGAAAAGAAAATGTAAACTTGATTCAGACTCGTTTGGGCTCGGATTGGGTTGATCTTGGTGTCGTTGGGTTCGTATTTCCGAGACGCTCAGTTTGACTATAAGTTCGTTGAAATCGGAGTTCAGGTGCTCCCAAAATTAATTTTTGAAGTTTCCAACTAGCTTTTGCCTCGAGATTCGTGCCCGATCAAGATAATTTTGTGATGTCGTATCAATTATAATCTTGGCTTAAGGAAATTAAGCTGCTCTAAATTAGTGGTTGAAAAATTGATTTATAAGCATGCAAAGATGGATGATAAACCTTATTAGGATCTCATGAATATTGTATAGGGGATGATATGATCAATCTAGTCTATCAACATGATGGATTGAGAGGCCGTGTAATTCAAAAAGTCTAAGTTGTAGCCACGAGTAACTTTTTATGAAATATCAACCACAACATCAACATCATCAACCCTTTATTTCATTGTGGGTTCGTCTACATGAATCATTTTTCTCCATTATATATTCTTAAGAGTCAAATTCTCATTTAAATATAATAAAAAATGTCATTCTTAATATTTCTAACCAGGTGTTTTTAGGTCTATCTCTACCTTTCTTAATATAGGTCAAATCTAATATATCTACTCTCCTAACCGGGTTATCATAACGCTGATATTTTATATGACAAAATCATTTAAGACGACTATCTCTAATCTTATTTGTCAGTGGAGCTATTCCAACCTTTTCACGTAAATACATGTTTTATATTCTATCTCTAAAAGTGAAGCCACTTATCTACATGAGCATGCTCATATCTTCAACACTTAATTTAATATAATGCCTCTCTTTTAATGGTCAATATTCTGCACCATAAAATATTGTAGGTCTCAGCATCATCTTATAAAATTTGCTCTTAAGTTTGATGAGTACATTTCTATCATACAACAGGCTTGATGCATTTCTCCACTTCAACCATCCAACTTGAATTTTATTAAAAATATCTCCATCTATTTCACCATCACATTGAACAACATACCCGAGATATCTAAAATATGTGCTCTTATTAATGCCTTGATCGCCCAAAATCACAATCTCCCACTATATCTGTTAGTATTAAAATTACACTCAATATATTCAATTTTATATATACTTAAACGATAACCTTTAAACTCTAAATTTGATCTCTATAATTCAAGTTTACCTTCATCTTTTTTTATTGTTTTATAAAGCAACTTTGTAGAATAAAAATTTTAATTCAAAAAAATTTCATACTAAAAAATTACTTCATAAAACAGTAAAACAATTGTCCCAACTAATTCATGCAGACAAGAATTCAAAGACTTTCCACAAACATTTTTGGCAATTGGGACATTTGGAAACAATGACCATTATTCAGGACAAATGGCGTTGATTACAATGCTATTCAACATACTATTTTGAATAATCGAATAAAAAAAATATTGCACTTCTTTGAATGAGAATATTCTAATCAAAATGAATTTTAAAATTTATATCAAGATAAATGTAATTCGCATTTCGTATTATGTCTCTGAGTGGCTTTACGCTTAGAGATAAAATACAAAATGAGCATATACGTGAAAAGGTTGAAGTTGAACCAATGACATATAAGATTAGAGAAAATTACCTTAGATGGTTTGGTCACATAAAACGTAATTTTTATTAGGTGCGAAGTTTAGACATAGCTTTGTGTCTGAACTCCAATAAAATCGTGACGCGTATTTTACAGATGGATATTCTTTTATATTTCTTTCTTAAAATTTTTTGCCAGCCCGACTGACCGGACCCAAAACAAATCCTGTTCAAAATTTAGGGCTGAGCATTGTCGCTCTTTTTTTTTTAAATAAAATAATGTGAAAATATTTTTTTTTTTTAGGATTTTAACTCCAAAAATATTTCATAGCTGCTAAGAAAGAAAAATGAGGGAAAATCGATGAACTTGAAGTCACGTCTGGAGTAGGTCAAGGCGATGATAATGAAGACTAGTCTGGAGGAGGTCAAGACGATGAAGATAAGCACTGGTCTAGAGGAAGTCAAGGCAATGAAGATGAAGATTTGTTTGGAGGAGGAGAAGCCGATGAAGATGAATACTGGTTTGAATAAAGGAAAAGCCGATGAGATAAAAATAGTTTAGGAGGAGGAGAAGCCGATGAAGATGAAGATTGGTTAGGACTAGTAGAATCTGATGAAGACGGAGAATGGTTTGGAGGAAAAGTCGATGAAGAAATGAGGAATAATAATTTTTTTGTGCACTTAGGGAATATGTAATTTTGAAGTATTATTTGTATATTGATAGTTTTTTTCTATACACTTAGAAGAAGATGAAGATACTTTATTTTATTGATATTTTTTTTCCATTGCAAATGACTATGGAAAAAATACCATTGATAATATAACACCACATTATTAAATAAAGTCTACTATGTACCATTGTATATCTATTATATTGCCTGTGATATTAAAATTTTGGTGTGCATCAGCAGACATTTTAATTAAACTAAAAATGTGTTATGTACCACTGCATTCGTTTATTTGATATTTTGTTTATTTTGATATTATACATCTCAGTACCAATGCTCGGTACTGCTCGGTACCTCTCAATAAGCAATATTAAATAACTATACATTTCCTATTAAGATTTCTTACGTCTGAATCAATATGACTGGTACGCATCGGTAATGAACACAATTTTTTCATTAATATCAATTCAATATTTATACTGATGAACTCTCAGTATCAATGCTCGGTACTGTTTGGTATCGAAACTCGGTACTGCTCGGTATAGCTTGATACCTCTCTATAACACCCGGTATAGAAACTTAGTATCTCTCAGTAATGTAAGTCGGTACCACTCAGTATTATAAGTCGGTACCGCTCGGTACTGTACTAACTCGGTACCGTTAAATACTGCTCGATACTGGTCTGTACTAGTTGGTACATCTCCTTAGTGCTTGATACCATACTCGGAACTTGTTAGTACTAATGTGAGTTCTATTTCTTATTCAATTATGATTATGTTTTTTACTAGTTGGTACCGAGTTCCCATTTTGTGTATCTTGAAGTGGCACCAATTAAGAAGCTAAGGCATATAAATGAGAAAGTTTTAAATATTCTATAATATGTATTTGTGAAAAAAATGATAAAGCTTTAAAATGAACTAAAATATAACTGAAAATCATAGAGTACAAATGACTGTATTTTTACTACTGCAAATTACATAGTACAAAAGACTTAGAACTTTAAGAACAAACATAACTTTAAAATTACTCTTACATTAAAAATTTTTGGACCCTTGGACCCCGCAAGGGGGCGCTACACCCTCGGACCCCCATTAAGGGGTGCTACTCTCTTGGAACCCCAAACATATTTCCTAAATGTAAAGAAAAAAACTATCATTCTTGCAACATGTTCTTATTTCAACTTCAGCTACTCATCTTCCTCTTCCTAGATGTTTGCATAGCTTCATCCTCATCGGCTTTTCCTCCTTCAAATCAGTCATCATCTTCATCGATTTTTCCTCATTTCTTCTTTCTAAGCAGCTATGAAAATATACTTTGAGCTGAAATCCTAAAAATGATGGAAGTTTTGCTATATTTCATTTAAAAAAAAAAAAGAATCCACTCAATATTTTTGTACTTTGGAGATATCAAAGAAAAACACTTGCAGTTAATCTCTTCGGTGAATACCTGTAAACCATACAGTAAAGGGGGGCTTAATGATTCCTTCCATTTTGGCTATGAGGTTTGCATATAATTACAATATCATCAGTAGAATGTATAATATTAAAAATTTTCTTTCAGACATCCTGCTGGCCCATTATATATCTCCCTAAAAAAATAATGCTACTCATCCCACAAAATTCTAGAAAGGTTTTAGTGAAACTATAGCTCAGGTGAGAATAAATTCATTTTCACTCCTCAAAGCTTTAGCACAACATCTATTATTTGGGATAATTGGTGGTGCTTGGGTGATAATTTAGTGAATAGATATCCTGATTTCCCATTGCTAAATCACTGTAAGGATAATGATTCCATTAACAAATGGATCCACAATAGAAATTAGTACATTCAAGATTCCATTAGTGAGGAAATTAGGGAATTCATTGTGGGCCTTCGAAAGGATTGTCACCACCGTAGAGTGCAAGGGTATACGACCACACCACCCCAAGGGATAGAAACGATCGTATACCTTCACGCTCTTTGCAAGTGGACCAATGGGAGGGAAGATTAGACCGTACATATGACTAACTATTCAGGATAGTGGCTCTCACCAACACACCTTGATAGGTAGTAATATATACGACTTGATCAAAATAACAAGTTTCCCCCTCCCGATACATCAGCTCGAGTGGGGTTTATTTGATGATGGAGTTTTATTTTTCATGGGAGCAAACTCCCATGGTTAATTACATCTCAAGCCGGAGCCTGAGAACACTCTCGATTAAGGATTCAATATTATTCTTTTCAAAGCGGGGTTGGCACATAGGGTTAAAACTAGGATGTCATATTCAAATGTAGGAAAATATTCAAGTGGCTTGGTCAGCATACATGGCTCACACTAACATCGAGAGGGATTAGGGTATTGAGAAGAAATTAGAGAAAAGAAATCGTGCACTCAAAGCATTATAGAGAGAAAGATGGAGGTGGCGTCATCCTGTAATGCAGATAGGTAGGATTTATAGCTCTAAAAGAGAAGGAAACTTACCTACCATTTAGGCATACTACAAAACATCCAATGTAGTAGCCTCAAACCCTAGATCTAAGATGGGTTTAGTGCTCTGCATAACACCAACACCCATGTCTTAGCTAATACATCTAGACTTATATCATTCCTAAAAAGGATAGCCAGCTAACCACCTAAGCACATAAAATCCATATTGTCCAGTTTTTTTGAAAGATAGATGGGTGGATAAGTTTTGGAAGTAGAGTCAACATCTAGAGAGTTTTCTAATTGGTCCTGAACTTATGTAGGGTGAATGCTCCTAGAGCTAATGCAATTAAAATTTAATTTAATTAGTTTCTAATGCAATGCATGCTGGTTCAGGTATCCAAATCAAATATGTTTTAGATTTTAAAAACAGGCTTAAAAAATAAATTTTTAGAATAGACTAAATTTTCCTAAGTCCAGCACTTCATCCTCATAGGCCAGATTATTCGGACTCAACCCGCATACTGGGAAATGTCTTATAGAAAGAGAGAGAACAAATGCAATAATATGCATATGACCCCGAATAATTCTGACAGTTCCATAGATTATTAAGTTTCTATATTGCATAATTCTTAAAATTTTAGATCATTAGTTATGAGTAAAAAAGTTTTTATCCTATAGAGCATAATAAAAATTAGGTCACACACATGCAAGAAAGAAACATAGAAAAAATAGGCAATTTCTACTACACAAGTTTAGTAAACACATATATATAAATAAAACTAGACAGCGTAAAAAAAGTCTAAGTCTATGGCAAGTGTTGTATAAGTACAACCTAGAGTACAGAAAAATAGTGGTGGTCAGGCTCTACCAACAACAACCTAGATTCTAATCCTAATAAATGATGCAAGTCTTAAAAGCCAGGCATTTCATCTTCAAGTCTTTGTCTTCAAATCTTCATATGAATCGTCTCTAGGTTCTTCTATGGATTGTCTTGGGGTCATCTCCTTTGGATCATCTTCCTTTGGATCATCCTCCAGAAGAGTACTCACATGACTAAGAAATTCTCTATGAAGGGCCTTTCTTTTTCTCTTTGGGTACTTAGTATTTGAAATTCTAGGCTTTTAAAAACTTTCACAACTCATTACTTTATTACAAATTACATTATATTTCATTAAAAAAAGATAATATAAACCCGGACTCTTGTATGGTTATCCTAAGCAATTAAATAAAATATCCCAAGCAATTTATATCACATAGCCCAAGCAGTTAATATTATACATAAAAGGAAACACACTTGGCCATGCTCATTTAATTTTAATTTTAAAGGGGCTACACAGTCTCTGGAGCAGATGCAGGAAAACACTAATAGTATTAAAGCTTGATTTATCATTGCCCCCTTTATTTTTGCGTTGTATGAGTGTGGCCACATGCAAAAGACATTATAAGTATAAAGTGCCCATAGCCTAGAGGTAAGTCTAACGCATAATCAATCACAGAGAAAAGAGAAGGAAGTGCAGTACATAAAAAAAAATAAACACTTACATCAATTCAAAACAACAAGCACACGTGCCACATACAAGAGCGATCACAACATAGAAACAGAAAAAAAGAAAAGCATCGGCCTATCCTAGGATTAGAAGTGGTGCCCTAGCAAATAATTTTATGTGTGTAGTAGGCTAGTGTGTTTTGGATATGTCCTATATATGGTAGTTAGTTCAAGTCATTTTTGAGTTCATGTTTGTTGAAGGCCAAAAGGGAAAGTTTTAGTTCAAATTTAAGTATTAGTGTCTTGAGATTGATTTTAAAAGTTTTATTTTTAGTGTTTAGTTGATTACTACTTTTATTTCACATCGAGGTCGTGAGGTTTATTTCACCATCTTTGGGGCTAACTTAAAAGCCTCGTAGGCCTGTGTTATCCAGTAGCTATCAATTTTATTGAGTTAATTTCCTTATTTGGTCTATTTTAATACTTATAATCATGTTTTCTGAAGCTTAGGTTGAATTAGTGGATTTTAAAAAGTCTAAGGTCCTCCTATACGCTAAGTTAAAAGGGTCTAAAAAGTCACTTTTAGAAATAGATAAGATTTAAGAAAGTTAACATTTTTATTAAATATTAGATCTTATCATGAGCAATTAGACTATTAGTTTGCTGGATTTAGAGTTTTTTAGACAAAGTTATGAATTTTTGAAGTTTCAAGGTCTAAATATACTACGGTTGACCAAAAAATTGACTTTTTAAATTAGGCTGATTTTGGGAATTCTAATATTTTAATAAATACTAGACCTTAATTTGAGTTGAATGCCTTTGAGTTTGCTCAATTTGGATTTTTTTATAATTAGTTATAAATTTTTGAAGTTTGGGTATTTATTGAATTGTTTAAATTATTTAGTTAAGGGTTATTTTAGGGATTTTAATTCAAATCAGCTCCAAATTGATTGGAATCACTCCCAAATGTCAGGAATGACTTAAGGGAATATGTCCCAGTGTTTTGGAAAATTTTAGAATTTTTAATAATATTCTAATTATTTATTAAGGGGAAAAAGATGATCTTTAGTTAAAATTAAATTAATTAAATTGAAGTCCAATCAAGGGGCCCTATATTATGGATATTTTTCTAATTTAATTTGGATTTATTAGAATTTTTTGAAGTTTTTGGGGCCTTAACAACGGGTAAATTATGGTTTGTTAATTAGTGGGTTTAAAGAGTCCTAAAAAATTTATAGAAAATTTTGAGAGGTTTAGGATGTCACTAAGTTTAAGTGTATGAGGTTTCAAGTCAATCGAGGATCTACCCTAACTCCTAGAATTTTTTAAAGTTTGCCAGACTAGTCCTTAATTATTATCCTTATGGTGTCACTATGTTAAGTGGGTTCAAACTGAGTTTTAAACTAACCCTTGGGGAAACATAAGAGGATATACATAAACAAGCATAACACTCCATGTCCTTAGATCTAGGAGAGCCTAAGCTAGGTGCTCGTACATCCTACACATGCAGAAGACAATTAAACAGTAGCTAAACACGATTAATGATGTGATTAGTGAATGATTGAGACTCAATCATTCACTAATTTACTCTCCCATGAATGTTGTTCATGAAATAATCTATGTTTAAAATTTCATGAGGTGGGTCTCCCAAAATTATGGAATTTAAATAATATATAATTTTAAAATACTCAAAATACATATACATATCTATACTACTATTATAAAATCCACTTGAATTTCCTTCCACACCAAATCGTAGCCATCCATTTTAACTTCTTCAAAATTATCTTGACCCTTCATTCTATTATAAAAAAATCATAAATCTAAAAAATGTATAATAATTTTGTAAATTAATGTCCATTACATGCATCGAATGAAATAATTATGTAAATTAATGAGGCTTAAATTTCCTTAAACAAGTTAAATGTTATTCTTCAATTTAACCTGATAACGTTTTTATTAAACAAGTTAGTGTTTCCCTCCGTATAATTTAATTTTACCTATTGATGTTTCGGTTACCTAATATCGCCTCTCCTGCTTCCTAATATCGCCTGTTTCACGACATCCTCCGTCTTCCTTGCTCTTCGGCTTGCCATAGCTTCCTCCGCTCACCCGTCTCCGGTAGGTTTCTATCTCCTGATGTTTCTGTCTCCTCAACTTCTTTCACGCTTCTTCTTACTTGCATTTAGGGCGCTCGCACTTTTCTTTCTCCAATTAATTCGGTGTATTGAACTTCTAAAACGTTTCTTCAATTAGGTTCCTCTCACCAATTTTTTCAGTTATGGACTTCGTTTACGTTTTTCACTTCTGGAAGATGAACTCCAACATACAAACCTTTCAACAAACGGTTCGTTTCTCCTCCCTAAGGTAACTGTCCTTCTGTTCTCTTCCTCGGTCATATATATTTGCTAAAACAAGTAGTTAACATCATATATCCCCTCTCATCATTACGTCTTTCTCCCTCTCTCTGATTATTTGTGCCAAAATAGAAAAGCCCAATAAGTCTACATTTGGCCACATAGAGCGTTGGATTTGCTTGCAAGGTCCTTGAATGATAAGTACTTCAGATCTTAAATTGCTTTTTCAGCTTTCTGTTTGTATATAAGAAATCCTAAAAGAGTATTATTTGCTCTGATGGTCTATGAGATCTTAGGAAATTCTTAAATTTAGGGTTTTTGTTGTTGTTTGCTTTTATATTTTTGGTATGTTGTTGTAAGCAGGTTGATGTTTTTTTTTTTAATATTTGTAGAGTGGGTTAGTATTGTAATCTTTGCTCATGAAGTTGATGCATGATATAGCTTAAGAAAATTTTCTACCATACCCCCACCATAAACCCTGCATATTTCTTTAAAGATTGGTAATAATTATGATGCTTAAACTTAATTTTATATCAACTTGTTTCTTTAAAATTAGAAACATTAACTGCTTGTTGTATCTTCTTTGTATTGTGTTTCACTGTATTTGTCGCTTTGCTAGCCTCATTAGTCTTCTTGGATCATTTAATTACTCGGGTGATGCTTTTAAGGATCCTCATCAAGCAAATCTGGAGATGTAAATGACGTAATTGAGATTTTGAACTCTTCTTTCCAATTTAAACTTATTTATTCCATAAAAAAAAAATCTTATTTCATTGAGATTCTTTGATTGCAGTATGGTTATTTTCCTAAATTTTTTATTTATAAATATCCATTAGAAACCACTACTTCAGAAAAAATTTTTGAAGGGTCGCTATTCAAAATTATAATTAACTTTTGGTATTTACATGAATTTATATACTTTATACATTCACAATCTACTTGTAATATTTATACATGTTAACAATTTTATGATTTGAATTCTAAGTTTTAGAATCATATGCATCCTTTAGAATTCAAAGAGAAGGATTTAGAGAAGGAGTGAGTTGTTTTTTAAAAATAAAATATTGTGATCATGAATTGGTACAATCACATGACATCTTTTAAGTAGTAACATAAATAGTGATGTAGTGGATCGTCGGAAGATGATACCTGCAAGAAGGATTTTAGGATTCTCAATCCAGGGAAAAAGAAGAAGAGAGCTTCACAAGCTTCAAAGGGATGTATATATCATTCAATATCCTTTCTTCTTCTACAAGACCTCCTACTTATGAGAGCAAAAGAGTATTCTAGAACAAAATGGATAAAGTACTCATAAGGACTATCCTAGCTTAAAATGCACCGCATCAAATAGTCTACATTTTTGTGAGTCAAATGTCTGAATATATTAGCATACTGTCACCAACTTTATGCCAATGGAAATAATAAGCTGCATGCTAGTACGAGAAAGTAAAGTTTGTTTGATCTGGCAAATAACCAGAATCCAGTGCTTTGAAAGTTTGCTCCATCTTTGCCCAAAAGATGTAACTCATGTCTCCATAAGGAGCCTAAGATGTGCTGAAAAGTTTTGTTTTAAGTAAATTCAGAAATCACATGAGCCATTAATGCATTCCTAGAGTCGCCATGCTCAAAGAAACTAATTGATGGGAGGGAAGGTATTTATTGTTGTTACGGATGCATTAGACCTGGCTAGGAAAACTGTAACATTTCTTTCTGATTTATCTTTTTTTTTTATTAATATTGTAGGCATATTTTTCATTAGAATCAAGTCTCTACTGGAAGTAAATGCTTCAAGCAATATATCATCATCCTGAGAAATTAAGGAATCCTCTTGTAATGAATCATTGCTTGTTTCTAAACAGAACTGCAAACTCAATACTTTTCTTATGGAATATATTATGGTGCATTCATCATCAATATGCTGCATGCAAATTGATTAGGAGTGGCAAAATCTCTTATGTAAACTAAACCTTTAGAATCCACTGTTTGAAAATACAAAAAAAATGATTAAATCCAAACTAAACCTTTAGTTTGGATTTAAAGTGGCTTAGTTTGGATTTAAACTCGTTGGAAGTCTTTGTTGGGGTTTTCCTGTGCTAAAAAGTGCCAAATCATTGCTTTCAATAGTTATATATAGTCGTTTTGGTCAAAACAATTTGAATTTCTGCTCTTCCAAATCTTCTTTTGATTTCTTTAATCATCTGATTTCTTCCAACTTTTCAGCAATTTTGATTTTTTTCCAGTTTTTTTGACTTGTTTTTTTTATGATTTGTATGTTATCCATTTGATTGCACTATCCGATCCGTTAAAAATATTGAAATTAAAAAATAGCCTTTTTATCCTAACAATTACTTGAACATATTTTGATTAACTTTTAATTGAATAAATCTTAAAATTATTATTTTATTTTAAACTAAATATATTACATGATAAATTAATTAAATTGTATATTTTTATTATTTTAAAATAAATGAATAGCTTTGTTATTATTTTAACTTGGTTATACTTATATCTTGCTATTTTAACTTGCTTTTGTATTGTTGATTTTGCAATTCTTCTTAATGTGATTTCAGGTCATGATAGATTAGATTCTACCTGCAACAAGCGAGTAAGGATATTAATTTGCTTCTTCCATCTCTTTTTGGATTATTAACTTGCCTCAATGATAGGTTTTTGAAATGTTTGGATATATGGGCTTCCTATTTCTGGCTTATATGGTGTTGATATGCAAAAAAATATTCTTTATTCATTTCTCTTTGGGTCCACCTTTGTGTTTCAACCTTTGAACATATAGGTCAAGCGTCATGTTTCTACCTCTCAGGATAACTTGAAGTTTCCCAATTTAGTCCATCACAATGTTTATTGTTCTCTTCTAACATTCTTGCATCAGCTACTTTGAAATAACAACAAAAAAAGGATGCAGAATAAAGAACAATATATTTGATTGATTTTTGATCAACTTCTTCTCATCGTGTCTTTTTATGGCTGACTGATTTTGAATTGAAGTGAAGATCATAGTTGTTCTTTTTTTTTTCTTTGTATTTGCTTAACTGTATATTTAGGTGCTTTCTTTTTAATTCGTTTTTCTTCTGTAGGTTTTATTATTAAATCAACTTGTTGCAAAAGCTAATTTATGATGACCTTTTTATTAGTTGTGATGATACCACTATTTGTAATCACACTATTATAATCTTAGAACAAGGATTTCTGACCCAAATCTATGGCATTTTCCTGTCGACTTTTTTTTTCATAAAAAGTTGAAGGTCAGCCTTTATTTAGCTACCACAGCACACCAATAAATTTGATAGTGAAATCCTTCTTCGACACAAAATTTTTTGAAAACAAGCAGAAAGTTGCAAAAAAAAAAAACATTAATAGCAATAACTAAGCCTTGGGCATCAATTATCTAAACACAAAAAAAAAAATAATGAAAATGCTAGATTTAATTTCTTTCATTAACAAATTGTAAAGTTTTTACTTTCATAAATCTTCTAGCTTATATTTTTGTTTGCTGTGATGAAGATAATTATAATGGTTCAGCACCACCATTTGATCAAAGGATTGATCATGCTAATCTCTCTCTCTCATTTAATGTCTATCATTTAATTCTGGATCAACTGGCAAAGGAATTGAATCACCTGGTTCAACGATTCAAATGCCTCCAAAACTGTGGTTATAATCATATTTATAATATATGCTATTTTAAGTAATCTCAATGGATTTTATGTTGTGCCATGTTTTCATCAAAAGGGTCATCAAAGAGATTATTATATTTTGGTAAGTGCTTGAAATATTTTATTAAAAGCTATATATGACTTAATCTGATTATGGTTTTTAATGAGTATTCAAGTTGTTTAAATAGACTATTACCCCATAAGAAATTTTATACTACTTTAATTTGTGGTAGCTTGAAGGTCTAGATGCTTACGTGTGACTTGACAACTGAAAATGTATGATTAAAATCATTCAAAACTTATGGCACCAAATTTTTTCATCCTTTTTTTTCATTAGTTTTATAAATTTCTATTTTTCATTTATGTATTTGTTGAATAGTATCTAAGATATTAATTTTATCTTCCAAAGATTATTTCTTTCTCACAAAATTTAGAAAATTTTTGTTTCATACCCTTGTTAATTATAATTATGTTTCATGCTGTTGTTAATTATAATTTGGATTTCATTATTTTTAAATTACATATATTATAAATATGATTATATTATTAGTCATTAATTTTAATTAAATACTTATCATATCTGATTATATTGTACAATCCTAAAAAGTGGACTTAGTGCATGTACGATTTAAAGATAAAATTCCTCTCTTTTATAATTTTAATATAATATATAAATATAACGTTATAAATTTATAATATCTTATTTATAATAAAAATTGTGCTTTTTGGTCAAAATATTAAATGATTAATTTTATTGTATTATTAGTTCTACCGAGAAAAATTATGAATTTTTCAATATTGAATTGCAAAATTATATTAATATATTTTTTTCTACTATGATTTAAACAAAAAAGCTAACTCTTAATTAAAATAATTAATAATTATATCATGTTAATAATATTAAAGATATGAAATTTTTTTTTAAATTTTTATTCATGTGTATTTAATGCATGTGCAATAAAATTAGTATACTAAATATATGAACATATAAGTTTAAAAATAATATTATTTAAAATAATTCAATTTATATGAGTGCATGGGAGATCCACTAACCATTCAAAGAGATTTTAAAATAATTTAAGAGGAGGGAATAATAATAATAATAATAATAATAATAATAATAATAATAATAATAATAATAACACAACAATAATAATAATAATAATAACAATAATACTAAAATAAATAAAATAACAATGATAATTAAAATAATGGTTTAAAATATTAATAACAATAATGATAGATAATAATAAAGTAATTTAAAATAATAATGATTATAATACAATTTTAAAAGTAAATAATAATAATAATAATAATAATTATAGTAATAATAGTAATTATAAAATAGTTTTAAAATAATAATAATATTAATTGTTTTAAAATAATTATATTAAGAATAGTAATAGGAAAAGGATTTAAAATAATAATAATATTGATAGTTTTTTTAATATAATAATAATAATAGTAATAGTAATAATAATAATAATAATTATAAGATAATTTTAAAATAGTAATAGTTATGATATAATAATAATTATTAATAATTATAATTATAAAAATATTACAATTATACGCACTCCGCACCCAATAAAAGTTCATTATAAAGGCTCCTATATATATATATAATTTTTAATTAATTTTAATTTTAAATTAAAGGAAATACAATTCTGAAAATTTTGTCATATTATACATAATTTTTGGATCAAAAATATTTTTTTTTTTTTGTGTTTTTTTAAAGTTAAAATAGGTTTAAAACAATTAAAAAAAAAAAAGAAAAAAAGAAAAAGCCCCGGACCGACACCTAGTGACTCGGGATTGGTCCCGCTGTCCGCGGGCAATCATTGCCTTGCGACACAATGATTGCGCCACCGGTAATGATTGCCAATGATTGCGGCAATCATTGCCACGGACTGCGGTTTCACTTAACCACGTCAGCGGGGTTTTGTGGCCGTCGGATATTCCGCTGTTTCGAACGAACGATTGTGATTGATTCGTATGGATGCATGTTCCGCATGATCAAGTTTTACAGTTGATCCAGACCGCAGAACCGCTTGATCTCGACCATTGATCTTTAGATCAACGGCCAGGATCAATCTCCGGCGGATGGAGACCTAACCCGAGAGCCAAAACAATAAATCACTTCGTTTGATCGATTGGCTCAATCAAAATGCATGAAATTTTAGGCGTAGGTAGCATTTCATGAAGAGCAACCATGGGGTATCATTCATGCGGCGACCAAAAACACACTTATCATAGAACTAATTAACCCCATGTGTTCTAAACTAGGGTTAGGAATTTCACCTCGGTTAATGGACGGTTTAAACCGTTTAAGAACTCTTTGAATTTGTAGTTTTTCCACGCACAATTCTCTAGTTGAACACGAGCTCTGATTCGCCTTGGATTGGACGGGGAGACTTTGGAAGGAAAGTAGCCTCAGTTCGCCGGAGATCTCGCCGTCGGCAGCTTGGGACCGTTGGATTTGACATGAGGATGGTCGAGGGAGGTCGTGGGATCTCTCTCACCAAATTTCAGAGACTGAGGAGGTCTAGGCTAAGAGCAATTACAAAAGTCGCCTGACCTCAACCCTAATTCTCCTATTTAAATGTCTCAACCTATCACCAATGGCTAGGATCGAAATCCAAGTGATTTTGGAGGGAATTACATTTGATTTGGCCGTGGTTTGATAGGGGGACCAAGAAGGAAGGGTTTAAATGCATTTAGGAGCATTTATTTTACTCAAAAAGGTCAATTTGACCTATTAAGGGTTTGGTTTGACCAAGTTAGAGTTTGACGGTCAAACAAATCAATTAGGTCAAAGGAGTGAGGGTTTTGAGTAGGAGATATGTTTGAATGGGTTGGAGTTTGATTTAAACCCATCTAGGCTATCTAGGTCAAACTAGGTTGACCTGGTCAACCAGGTTGACCCAGGGCATAGGTTTGGGCTCAATGGGTTAGGTCTGACCCATTGGGTCTAGTGGAGGTGAGGATTGAACAAAAAAGATGTCAAAACTCATCTATAAAATTCCTCTTGTGTCGGATCAGACTAATTTTCTAACTTGGGATGGCAATTCGAAGGCTATGTATAAAGATTTATATATGGATTTTTTTTGTGAATGATGCCTTAGTTGATTGGTCTCATCTTATTTGTCATAAGAGACATTCACCCAAATTCTCTATTTACACTTTGATGGCTCTCTTAGATAGGCTAAAAACTGCGGAAGTCTTATCCTGGAAAGGCATTGCTATTGCAAACCCTCTTTGTTATTTCTGCTACAATAACATAGAGACTATATCACATTATTTTTTGAACGTGAAAATTCCTTCAATTTATTGATCCGGGTGATTCCTAAACTGCAAAATTTCCTTTTAAGACCCAATGTCTCCCAGGCTTTAGAGTACAATGGAGGCTTTCGTGCCCAGGGAAAATAAAGGAAAATTCTGTAATCTCTTACTGTTAAATGTTATTATTTATCATTTATGGTGTGAAAGGAATAATTGAAGGTTCAATTTTTCGACAAAGTGTTTTTCCACTTTGGTTTCTGTTATAGCCAAGGTTGTGAGAATAAAGATCTCTAAATGGAAATAAGGAATCTCCCTACTAGAGGCACTAAGCGTCTGAAGATATTCATGACTTTGAGGAAATTTTTGAGCAGAAGTCTTTCTGCAGCTTTGGATTTTTTATGAAGACTGTCCGGTGCCTTTTTTGTTAGCAAACTGGTAGTACGATACTATAGTTAGGCTTTGGACTGTGATTTTTTGCCTGAACGATGATGATAGCCTGACTATGAATCCTCTTGGAAGGTCTTCGGGCAATCAGAGTGCATGTATCTCAGATTCTCTATTCGACTACTTGAGTTCAGAGCATATTTAATTTCTGGCTTCGCGCAGTCTTTGTGTTTTGTTCCCAGTGTTGTTTTTTTTAATACATTTTATATTAGTTTTAATATATTATTTTTTCAGAATTTCTGTTTTTTCTTTTTCCCACTCTAAAATGGCATAGCCCAAAATTTCCCCAAAAAAAAAGACAAACTCCCAAGATTTTCATTTAAATGTTTATATTAAAGCATGCTTAATTTATCTATTTAAATGCATTAATGCACTTTTTTATGACCGGTTCATATTATTAATTAATAAATCTAAACTTATATAATAACTTTCATTTAACCAATTTAATGACCCATAACTATCCATTCAACTTTTCATTTAAGCAAATTTTTAAATCTAAGCATATATAATAACTTTTCATTTAAGCTATTTAATGTCTCATTAACTATCCATTCAAGTTTTTATTTAAGCAAATTAAGGATTCGTTAACCCTCCGTTCGTTTAGTATTTGCCATTTGAATTTGTCCCGTGTGCATTCATTTCGTATTGGACATTAGGACTGACTATTCAGATTCCACTAAGTTTGATTCATGCCACTTCGGATCCCGCTCTCGGCCATTAAGTATTTGCCTTTACATTCTTATATAATGTAGCAGTTCCATCTGGGCGAGAGCAACTGTCCTCGCTATTCTCCCTCTCACCGAATGGAGCAACCAAG